TTGCCCAAAAAAACAAAAAAACATTTCCTAGTAATGGGCCTAATGACTTAACATAAATAAATTTTTGAAAATTACCAAATAATTTTGTTTTCTTTCTTTGTAGTTTAACATTTATATGTTTTTAAAAAAATTACAATGAAAGTTTGCTAAGTTTTAATTAACTGAACTAAGTGGAAAGAGAGTAAATCAGCTATAAAAAAATTAAAATTTCCTGATAATTATTTTAACATAAAATTAATTGTTGAAAATCATAAATTAATTGTTGAATTACCTAATAACGGCTTTTCATTTACTCCATTTTAACAAAGTTTTCATAATGTTGTATTTTTCCTTTTCGATAGCTAAACCCAATATTGGCTCATGAATTGTGATGTGTGAATGATTGCCACGTTACTCAACACAAGAATAACCCAATTTTGTCTTATATATGTAAAATATTACAAAAATCCAGTCCGTTTTCACTTGATAACATAAGTTTAAAAACTCGTAAATGAACTTGAACAGATTCAGACAAAGTTTATTTTAATTCAAAAAGTAGTACTTATTTTTTTCTTCTTTTTTTATTTACGTAAAAATGGAAGAAACAGACACTTCAAATCTCTGGCTATCAATGATTACTTGCACTGAAAACCATAAAGATAACGCTCACTTTACCACCCCATAATTATTAGACAGTTAAGATAATCACAAGTTAATTAAGGATCCTAATTTTACCTTTTTGTTCCTTTTAACATCAGAGTAACAACATCTTTAAATAAAATATTAGACACAACTTATATAATAACTACAGGAGGGATCACATAAAATGTTTGATTAGTGAGATACTAGAATTTGGCTTTAAGTTATAACAATTTAAAGTTTACTATCATTTAGTCTCTTATAAAATTATTCTCCATTAGTATGTCACCTAAATAAGTATTTATCAGTGTGGAGTTCTTTTTTATGGTTTCAAATTTAGGTACTTGACCTCTTTTACTGCAGTATATAAATTGGATGATCAAAAAGGTGATATATGTAAAGTCATTAATTTTAATGGTATAAAAGTAAAGTAAGAGAAATTGGGTTGTATAGCAAAGATTTTTAAGCAAATTAGCAAACTAACAAAATTTTTAGCAAACCACCTATTAGGAATCTCAACACTTTTTTATCATTCATCTAATTAGCCTTCCAATCCTTGTTATATAGCTAACTATCCCTAAAAGTAATTATATTATTAATTAAATGTTGGTTTAAAAATACAATTTCCAAGAAGTTTTTTTTTTGCTATATAGGTTCAATTTAGAAATTTGGAGTTATCTCTTTTTATATTTTCTTTCTATGTAAATCTAAAATAAACAATCATTAATTTTTATTCACCACAAATTAAAATGTTACAACTTGCAATGTTTTTTTTGTTGCTACAACGCGGAAAGGAAAAAGTTTTTAAATAAGTATTGAATGTAACGTATGTTCTATGTATTTTATTATTAATAATGGATTTTATGACATGTGTCAAATAACT